AGAGTACCTATACAGCTGTCAAGTGTATATTATTAAGTGTATTATTATTAACTGTCACAATATGTTTGTCTCGTTACACTCTCGTGAAAATACGTAGTTAAAGTTAAATTATTATAGTTCTAATACATTCTTAAATATTTATTAGAGTTGTCAAGTATTTTTAATAACATAAATTGGATATAGTGATCACGAAAACAAACGTATTATTACACTAGGTATACTTCTGAAATTTGATTGATTATTAATTTATACATATAAGAATATTGACAATATTGTATTATTTTATCCTCTCAATATGAGGTTATACGTACTTGTGGTCAAAGTTAAGACTTTAGTTTGATTACCTGCAATTGTACATTTCGATTTAAACGCATATCGGTGATGATGGTCGATTTATCCATCAGAAACGCATTTGTTGTGTGCAACAAGCAAAAACGTGCTATTATAATAACGCAATATTATTTACAGCGCCGACGGCAATTACGAGGTGACGATAATGACGAAAGCAATACTTCACTACACTGGGAAAGTCGTGTGGAAACCACCGGCCATTTATAAATCCTTCTGCGAAATAAACGTCGAATACTTCCCTTTCGATGAGCAGACGTGCTCCATGAAGTTTGGGTCGTGGACGTACGACGGATACATGGTGAGAAACCGCGCTTGCGAACGGTTGGCGTGATGTGCGTCTCCGAAATATGTTTTCTCTTGTCGATAGCGGTGAAAATGTAATCTTCTGATTTAGGGGGGGGGGGCTGTCACTGATAAAATAGTCTTACACCATGTATACAGTACAAGTTAATTGATTGAACACCACAGTTGTCGTTGTTACAGTATTGTCAGTATTGATGATATTGGACGTGATACGTCGTCGGCACCGCTCGTAATTAATGATATCGTTGTTATAATTATTTAACAATGTGCATTCTAGAATTCCAGAACTGAGAATGAAAAGGTTCTAAGTAACAATATCAGAATTTTTCAGGAGAGCAATTTTTAACTTTCACATAGTAAATTACTTGCTTTCAAATTCAGATTGTATTATAAATATAACTTTCAGACATATTTATTCGTAAATAATTGTTACTATCAGATGCATTATGAATATTAAGTATTAGGCATCCGCAAACTTAATTAATAAAAATAATTTTAAAAAAATACGTATTTAGAAGAAAAAGTTTTTAGATAAAACATTTTGAATTTTTAAACAGAACTATCTAATATCATAAAGCTTTTTATTGACACAAAAATTTGATGACAATCATTAAAATCGATATAATATTTTTATATATTATAATATTTTTACGGCTCAAAAATACTTTTCGATATTATAATTTATATATTTTCGTATCATCGGCACCTTATATTATTGTGTTGTTGATAAAACGCTAACATACATTGATTAAGAAGACGATTGAACCTTTTAAAATTCATATTGTTATATTATTATAACACAATTAATATTGTTCTCTCAATTTCTTATAATATAACTATAGTAATTATTATTTAATTTTTCAAAATCAAACAATAAAATGATTTTTGAAAAAAGTAGACATGGAAGTTTTCATTCTCAGCCCCTAAATCGTTGAGATAATATTATACCGAAAACACGACACATTTGCGTAGAGCTCGTATAGCAAAATATAATTATATCCTTAAAATAGTGTACCTATTTGGTAGTTTGACATTAATCCTTTTTTTTTTCATTTTCTCTCTCTCTCTTTTTCTCTCTTATTCTTCCGTCTCTTCCTCGTCCGACACACAGATGGACTTGCGGCACATTGCTCAGGCGCCCGACTCGGACGTGATCGAAGTGGGCATCGACCTGCAAGACTATTACCTGTCGGTTGAGTGGGATATCATGGGCGTGCCGGCTGTGAGGCACGAAAAGTTTTACGTCTGCTGCGAAGAACCGTACCTGGACATATTTTTCAACATCACTCTCCGGAGGAAAACGCTGTTCTACACAGTGAACCTGATCATACCGTGCGTGGGTATATCGTTCCTGTCTGTGCTGGTGTTCTACCTGCCATCGGAGTCCGGCGAGAAAGTGTCACTATGTATATCGATACTGCTCTCGCTCACTGTGTTCTTTCTGCTGCTGGTCGAGATCATACCCCCCACGTCACTCACCGTGCCACTGCTGGGCAAATACCTACTGTTTACCATGGTCCTGGTCACGTTGTCCGTATTCGTCACCGTGGCCGTCCTGAACGTTAATTTCAGGTAAATACCCATATGTCAATTAAATACATTATAATTATTAAATAATTGTAAGACGCAGTGAAATTAACAATTCACGCTGTTTAATTTGTTTTCGCGTGTCTGATGCATCAGGATTGCCTATACGTCACGCCGCTCTACATGTCATAACGTTAAATATGAGAGTACTACCTATAGTTCTTATTCTATGCTTCTCTAGATGTATTAAATTATTAATACATAGTTAGCGATATATCATTATTTTTGATAATATTAATGTATAATACACAAAAATAAACCATCTCGTTGATTAAAACTTTAAGATGTTTTAAATTGACATAAAACTAAAACTAAAAGTGATTTAAACGACTAAAATTTAAAATTGTGACAATTAATCTTGATGACATGCTTTAGATATTTATACATTTTTAATGTTGTGATATAAATAATTTATGGGAACCCCATGCTTCATTGAATAATACTAGAATTTAAGAATTTATTTTACAATTATAAAAACATAAAAATATTTTAAAATTTAATTAAATTATATTCAATAATTAATATACATTAAATATAGTGTAAGACAATATTGTAATATAATTTCAATATTAATAATAAATACCGGTTTGGTAATTATTAATTAAGTGGTATCAAAAATATTATTTGAACACAAAAAAGTTACCCTACGCGCGACGCGCTCAACTCTGGCGTCAAATTCGACAATTACAACTTTGCAAGTATTCTAAGTATTAAAAATATTATTTTGAAATTTCGAGTAGTTATATCACGCAGGTTAGCCACTCTCGACATATAGTAAAGTCAAAACGACAGGTGTCAGGATATTATAATATTGTGTATTGACATAATATACGATTGACGAACTGTTTTGATTTCACAGGTCGCCAGTGACGCACAAAATGAGACCGTGGGTAGTAAAACTGTTTATCCAGATTCTACCCAAGGTGCTGTTCATCGAACGGCCAAAGAAAGGAGACTCGATCGACGAARACGATGACGACGATGACGAAAAGCACGGTGAAATCCTGTCGGGCGTGTTCGACGTGCCGTCTGAGATCGACAAGTACTTGGGCTACAACCGCGGTTATAGTTTCGATTACGACGTACCACCACCTCTGCCGTCGTCCAGGTACTGCGGTGCCAGGGCCGTGTGCGCCGGCGGGGTGAGCGGAGGCCCGGGTGTGAGCGCCGGTGCTGGCATCGTGACCGGGTCCAACGACACGGTGGTGAACATGGCGTCTGACGAGGACGAGGACGCCATCGAGCTCGACGCAGAGGACGAGTACGACGACATGTTCAGCCCGACGACCACGACGGACGACGGTCTGGCCAGCCCGACGTTCGAAAGCCATCACCATCATCACCAGCACCAGCACGGATGTCCGGTGGACCAGCAGCCCAGGCACGACCCGGCCATGCAAACTATTCAGGACGCAAAGTTCATTGCTCAACACGTCAAGAACCAAGACAAGTTCGACGAGGTGAGTGGTGTAGTCATCGCAGGTGGTTTAGAAGAACTTAGAGCGTGCGAAATTTCGTAGTCTTTATTTTTTATGACAAATGATGTTGAACTTAGACCATAGCTGTAACAGCGGGAAACCTGCAATATATAAAATATCGACCTAGGTCGGAAAACCGGCCCCTAGGTGATTAGATAACTAGGAGGTCAGTAGGGGAGAGTGACTTTGATGCAGGCTGTTAGAGTGAGTCAGAGTCTTAACGGATGGTTTTTTTTTTCGTTCGACAGGTTTTTTATTGATTCTAATCCGAATTCTCATCGTTAAAATTACACAAATAAAATAAAATACTCACAAGGTGCAGTTACTGAGTGTATTACTTCCACGGGTATTCGGATTTTCAAAAACATTACCGAACATTTAATATAATATTATTATTGTAATACTGCTGTGTAGATAACAGTTATATTGTGCTTTCGATAACTCGCCTTCCAATGTAGTGGTATACCAATGTTTTATCGTTCTTTTTTTCCGTAGATCATCGAAGACTGGCAATACGTGGCCATGGTCTTGGACAGGCTGTTCCTGTGGATATTTACGTGCGCCTGTCTCATCGGAACGGCCTTGATCATATTCCAAGCGCCGGCCCTGTACGACAAGACAAAGCCCATCGACGTTGTTTACTCGAAAATCGCGAAAAAGAAACTGCAAGCCATTTTATGAGACACCACAACAATACAAAGCTCAATGACATTTTTTAGTAAACAACTTAGTGAATACAAACAGTTAATCGATAACAATCCTATAATAATGTATAAAATATACTTCGTTTTACTAATAATCAAGTTTTTATTATATATTATGTTTTTTGTTTTTTTTATAATTGATTTTTCATGAATGGTGTGAAACGTTGTTGCCGATAAAACAATATAATATTATCAATAATTATCGTTTAACAGTTCATATTTTATTTGTTATAAATTATTATTGATTATCATTAGATTTATTATTGAATGCAGCCATTGACCGTGGTGCCATCAGTTATCATAATAATATTATTATATTGTATAACTTATATTGTTATGATTTGAAATTATTTCGTTTAATACTGAGACTAAGTATAATATGACCCGCATTTGTTTAAATATTCAACCTCTGAGTTGAATCTCACTAAGTTATTCAGATAAATGCTTTGTCATTACAACTCATGTCATTTGGTTTCTTGAAAATAAACGAATGATGTAATTAATTCTTTTTTCGTTATTTATTTTTTTAGATACATAAAAACAAATTATTAATTATATAAGTAATAAAAACACTCACTACACTTAATTTATACTAAACATAATTTAAACCTAAGACATAAAGATAAATACACATTTTATGTACCAAAGTATAAAAGAGATTGAGACATGATTTATTGAACTTAAAAATAAAATTGTATACTAAAATGTTGATATAATTTACCCTCACAAATTTTTAGTCCAAAATCAAAGTCTTAAACGAAATTTTTTCGTATAAAATCGACTTTTTCTTCTTCGGCCTTTTAGACTCGTCTGATTTATAATTTACGTTAGACAAAAACCAATCATTATTCTTCAATATCAACGTTTTCCATTCCTCTGAAACATAATATATTATTTATATGATTAATGTTCAATGTGTTACACTATGGAGCCAAAATGTAATTATGTCAAATTTCTGAACTATATATAGCAAACATTTACAGTTTATAAATAATATGTGAAGTGGAACTTTTAGAACTGAAAATGAAGATTGAAAAATATATTCTAGATAAACGTATGAAAATAATTATGAAAACTATATGAATATTAAATAATTTAAGATTTATTTATGTTACAAAATGTCAAAAAACAATATTTTGAAGAAAAATCTTTTGTTTCTAATCAATTTAATCAAAAATAATATTGGCAATTCAAATTATTGTAAAAAATAATAAACAGCTTAACTTAAATAATTGTTTTCCTAGTCAAAATTTAAAAATAAATAGACATACAATTTGGCTATTTTCAATAAATTCTCCAAAAAATGATTTGACATTTAAAAAAATTTAAATAATTTTATCGAGCCATTTTGTTGCAAATATGAACAATAACCTTATTTTATTTATTAAAATAAGATAATGACACGGCCTTCCAATAGGTATTTCATCATTTTATGAAATATTGACTAGACCAATAGCTATTTAATTTATCACATAATTTTGTCACTCATTATATAGCTATACATATTATAGTCCATGTATAGGTTTAAATCATATAAGAAACCAATACAATACATTATTTATGTTTTTTCTCTCTATTTTTATAAACATCATAGAAACGATAAATCCTACCATTTAAATATAATGTCAATACATTATAATATTATGAAATAATTATTAGTGAGTCTAATAAATAGTAATTTTTACCTCTGATCACGTCCAAATTACCATTACATCCTCCGTATTCAATGGGAAGTGAATCTCTTGGTATGTGTTCCCAGAGAGTTTCGAGGTTCTTGTGGAAAGATAACTAAAAATTTTAATAATAATTCAAAAATTATATTACGATTTAATTAAGTAATGTATACTCAGTGCTGCAGTTGGTACTAAAGCACACACATTACACACATTTTAAGTGCAAAATTAGCATAACACTTACTCTGGCAAACATTTTTTTCGACACAAATGGTTTTAAAATATTTTTGGCTACGTCAATAAAACTTGGCGGGAACAAAATATGAGTGTGTTTCAGACGCAATGGATATGCTTTCTGAAAAATTACAGTAATTTTAATAATATTGACAGTCAAATAAACTGTTTAAGTCGTCAGACGTCACGGAATGACATAAGTGCCAACCCAAAGTGAGAATTTCCTTTTATTTATTTAATAATATTCGGTATTTCCAAATAAATTTATGAAAATTATATAATTATATGACACATTGGTTATTATCTGTAAGAAGCATTAACGTTTCTCATTCATAACCTTGACCGTAAAACACTTAGGTACCTATATAATCATTTTTACCAGTGCAATGGATACTCTCACACGTTTAGACTTTAAGTACACCATTTATTTAGATGACTAAAATCAATAACTAAAACCCTCGCCGCCATAGTATGCTATTCTATAATAATTTTCTCCTTTAGGGAAAATCTATGAACCATGAGTTTGTTTTTGTTAATATTAGCGAACCATAATAACGAAAATCTTAAGAAAAAATCGGTCAACACCATATCGTATATCAAGCCCAAAAACAAATTTATGTTAAAATACAATTTTTTAGTAAAATTTTATGAAAATGTATTTTATTTTACAATTTAACTTAAATTTAAAGCCCATATTTTATATTAGCCTCATCCAGGATACGCCATGAATTGGTTGACTCTTAAAGTTATAATCGTCTATCAAAGACTTTTTACAACTTTAACAAAAAAATATAATATTAATCATTATGTTTATACATTCTCTATGTAATATAAAATCTATAAAAATTAATGAATACAAAAATAAAAAAACACATAATACATCTACGAAAATCAATAACTATTATTTTTGTCATACCTTCATCTTTTTTTTCAACTTAATCGAAAACAGTTTGTTTACGTATGCTAATATTAACTTTATTAAACCTAAGCTCTCTCTGATTTTCCAAATAAAATTATGGTTATTTACGCCTAATACCATTTTATTTTATGTGCTCAAAAAATGCATGCCTGTTGTACCCAAACTTTTTGAATTTTGGGTCAATGTGTCCAAACGTGCATCGTCCATCAATTTGTTTAAGACACCGTTTTACTTATTATTTACTTATTGATATTTTCTGTATTGTACCGGCACCTATATTATAATATTATACGTAGTCACTAAGTTTATTTTTCACTTACATAACAATAAATATATGGTATAACTAGTTGAAATGGTATATAATATTATACAATAACTGTTACATAGGTAACCTAACAAATATTAACAAAATTATTAGTAACAACCTATCAAACTTAATACATCAGATGAAAAAAAAAATTATATTTATTATTTGGGAAATTAATCGCACTTTATTCGTTTGTTCTTAAAAAAAAAAAAAAAAAAAACCATTGCATTATTTAAGCAATGTTTACTGACCTGTGCATGTTTGATGAGATTCTTCAGCTGGAACAAGTCAAACTGACTTATGTGTGACAACGTAATGTGCCTCGTGTCAATCAAAACGTGTATACCAGTAAAATCGATGCCTTTCTTCTGATAGATATCCAACATCAAGCGCATTCTCTTGTATATCTCGATCGGCCGAAACAAATGTGAATTGGTTTCACTGAAGTGGTAGTACATTATTTTAAGTCCATCAGGCGTGTGTTTGGGCAACATAACCATGGTCCTGTGGAAATAAGTCTGCTGTATAAGTACTGGAATAATTAGATTTGATCACATAGCGGAGGGTTTCAAAGTAGGTACTCAAAAAATATATTATAACTCATAATATGCTATATCATTTTTTAACATAAATGTTTTTGGACTGGATACATTTGTTTTCAAATCTTTTTTTTTTTTTTTTGTAACCGATATTTTGTAACCTTTTGTCCATCCCCACAGAAACACAAATCAACTGTAAAACCTTCGTTTTTTTAAAATTAATTTAAACCAAAACCGTTTGATTTTTTATTGTACCTATTTTACTATAAATGCACCGCAATAAAAAATAATTGAAATAATAACTATACAGGTTTTGAATTATTCTAAAAATCGATCTGTAATAATTGTTAATTCAATAAGTCCCCAACAAAATTTATATATTTATCCAATATACTAAACCAAAAATTCCTCAATTTTTTTTACACAGAAAATATATACATGTGTACAGTATATATATATATATATACATATATCCTAATTTTTTAAATTGTATTTTTATCAGAATTTAAAAATGTAAGTACATTAAATAATATATGCTGGGCACATGGTGACAATAATCAAACTAAAATATAACAAAAGATTTTCAATAAGTTCCATGAAGAATAATAAATTCTCGTGTGTAAAGTTTATTTTTATTCTTTCGGAATGCATAATACCTATCAAATTGAGTAAATCGACTAACAAATAACGACTCACTAAGGTCAATTCTCTTTCATAAATTAAAATCGTTTCAACTCATTTTACATAGTTGTAAAAACTAACACCTAATATTGTACTATTCTGAAAGCTAATATAGGAACTGTGTAATACACTAGATTTACTTACAAATATTCAAACAGATCACTCTCCACATAATTTGGTAGATCACACACATCGTAGACCTGTGGAAACAACGTTTTCAAGCGAAAATGACTTTCTACCGCGTTTTTTGTTTTTTCTACATTATTTTTCGTCAGTCGTAAGAATCCTTCGATCCAAAAATTTATTTCATCTAAATCGTCAAATAAATATTTTTATGATTAAAAAAATCGATAAAAATGTTTTTTTTTAGAAACATCACTAATTGTCTATAATAGCCTATATAATATTAATAATAGTTACCATTTTTAGATTCTGGAAATTTGGGCAAATGTGGTTGTGTTAGCATCCAACTCCTGACCGTGGCTACATCTTTTATGATTTGATCTTTAGTCAAACCATATTCTTTCTTTAATCTTTTCACTTCTTCTTCGTTAGGTATCACGTGGTATTCCGGCATTTTTATTCAAAGTTTATATGACTGTAAAAAGAGTGAAAATCGTATTTTATGGGCCGATACTTACTTATCTAAAAGTGTTAAGTTACGACATAAAAAATAAAACTACCTAGTCTTTATAGGATATTATAATTTATAACACTATATATATAGGGTGTTATAACACTGATTGTTTTCTCTCTCTTCTCTCTAACTTAATTTATAATAAACACTTAAAATAAATATGTCAGATTCTCAAATATATAAATAACTCTTACTAAATGTCCTCTATAATTTTTATAAAGAGTGATTTTACACTAAAGATTACTTAAAAACTATAATGTGATTTGAGACACGAGTTCTCTTAATATCTTAGCGGGGATCAGTATTCATTATATACCTACATACTATTGATATTATTATTATTATTATTATTATTATTATTATTATTATTATTAATATAGTATGAAATAAAATAAAAATTATTTTTAGGTTAGATTCAAAAGAGATAACAAATATTGCAACAGTATATTAAACGTCGTAGGAAAGGTTAGTTTGTATCACATTATAAATAGTAATTTATTTTATATTAATATAAGTCTTTCGATGAATATTGGATTATTGTGGTTAATTTTTTATTTTTTATTCAAACATCTTCAGTCCTAAAATCAGCTGTATTTTTCACATAACATACGACTATTATGAACACAGGAAAATAAATTATAACAAACGGTAGTCGACTAACATCGAAAATATTAAAATCAATCTTGATCAACACTATGACGCCCAAACCGTGTTCTTGAAATGTTAAAATGTCTTGTGCGCCGATCGACATACATCCAATGGAGACTTTGGTGGAAAACTACTAATAATACCGATACAAAATTATTCCCGTTTAGTTTTACTTTCGTATTACCCACATCTTTGACCATAAGTGAAGTCGACAACTGCAGCGACGAAGACTATTACGCACTTACGATTTAACCGATGAGATCGTGGTTAACGTATACCATGTTAATATTTGCCCATTAGGTACCGACATAGTGCCTACCAACCTTATAACCGCAAGTCGAACAATACAATAAATACACTGAACTGCTGCCTCACGTTATAATAATATGACGTAGAAATATTGGTGGGACCCTGTGACAATGGGTCGGATCGCTGGAATAATGTTACGTTCTTATTATTTACTTCACACAATAATTATTACCAACTGACGTAACCATATTAAGTCTGCAACGACTTTTTCGCAAATATTGCAAATGTATTCAACGCAACGGTGGTATTAATTAAAACATACTTCTTTTTATCATTGAAAACTATTGTGTTCATAATATTATACACATGTGTTTCGCGTATATAGGTATGCATGAGAAAATCGAGTTTTGTAAATCGCATAATTTATAGTACTAACATGTTAGAAATATCAAACTATATAATATCATAACATGTGGAGTCGAGATTCTCATACATTTTACATACACACAACGATGAAAGGCCAACAAATTAATATTGGTATCGTCTGCAAGCGAAATCGACAACCACGAGGTCAAGATAATAATATATAATATTATCTTTCAATGTACAAACAAAGCAACAACTACGAACACAGGGTTAAAATTTACATATTTTCATATAGGATATATTTTATACCAAGTCATAGAATTTTTATTATTTTTTTTAATGTGTTTTAATTCATTAATTTCGTGGTATGATTACTATCGGGAATGTTCAATAGGTAGTGATAATTGATTTTAAATAGCATACTATGAGCACATTTCGAGTGAAAAAGAATCATTTGATAGTACCTATATCATTCAGGCGTAATGCATTTATAATAATATTACTAGGTCTAGCATTTCTATGCATTTGCATATTTTGTCATTTCACTCCACTTAAATTGGTTATTATATTTGTGTATACGATTCTGCTGATACTGAATTGAATTAGACAATTTTTTTTATTCACATGTTTGCATATTTAACATTTTTGATATTTTATTTTAAAATATATATATATATAAAATCGTATTCGCCTAAAATGAAGATTTGCAATGATTGTTTATACGTTATTAATAGAATTATATTCACAAATTTCCGTAATATGGGTCGGTTATATCGAAAAAAAATAAGATTTTATCTTCAAACAAGCTTGATAAATTAATAATCTTAAATCAGACCCATGTTTGAAGTTTAGATGGAACATTTTAAATAATTTAATTTTGTGTCATTTAATTTTCAGTTAAAAAATTACAAAAAAAATTAACGATATTATAAAATACCCAAACTTCTAACTTCAAAGTAAATCTACTAATTAAAAAAAAATTTTTTAATTATATAATAAAGTTTGCAAAACTGATATTAAAATACTTTATTATTTTCTATATGAAAACTATTTAATGATTGATAGAATTTAAAATATGTTTTAAGATAAATTAAAAATACTACCACAATATACTGTCCTAAACCACATTTATTGAACCTCAAAGATGAAGTGATGATCTATAGATTTTGTATAAGTCACTCTATAATATAGGATGGAGATCTTATCCAAAAAGAAGAATCAACACTGTATCTAACTTACGAAGACCCTGTCACAGTCAAACACTTTCTTGAACACTGTCGAAGCCCCAAAATATCCAAAGTAGCCTAGGGATTCCAAACATCCTTTTTGAAGCTCTTAATCCAATTAAAAATATTAGCAAAAATAAATATTTTTTTAAATATATTGACACGTATAACTCAATTTAAGAAATTGAATATACTAATTTACAAGTAATTAATATTATTATTTTTGTAAACTAATAACCTTAATTGTTGATATTTTAATATTTTAAATTATTTGTAAGTCCTTGTCCAAATAATTACAGTTAATAATTAAGATAATTACATGGCACACATATATTTATTTTATTTTATTATTTAGTCTTTAGATAAATCTATTTAAATAGGTATATAAAGGTATATATTGCATTAATTTAACCAGAAATTCGAAGAAATTGTATCGCTAAAATAACAAGTGTTTATAAATGTCATGAAATTTAAAATTGTGAAACAGTTCATGAAATGTTTCAAATGCATGAAATATTTCAGTATTTTAATTTTTTTTTTTTTTTTAATTTAGATTATTTGTATTTATTTTCATAACTTAACTCCACAATTTTACAAAAAATTTTATAAAACAATCAATAACTATTCATTATTGATAATTTTATTTGGTTAGATTTTTAATAAATATTCATCATTAATATTTKTATCAGAAAAAAATTCAATATTTGGCGTTTTTGTGAAATATCTCATCACATGGTGAAATATTTCATACCTCAAACACTATCTAAAACATTCAATTAGGCAACTTGAATTAGATATTTATAATAACAAATTGAATATATAAAAATCAAAAACAAAAACAAGAATGATGCAAGTTTATTTTGCATAACTTAAAATTGTTTGAACTAATGAGTATTAAATACACAAAATAATAATTAAACACGTGCTAGTACTAACAGGAAGCAATCAAACAGACAACACTAAATTATTTTCATAATTCATAAACTATAAAGCAATGATAAATATTATATTATTTTCATCACATCTCAATGTAATTTCAACTAGCTAATTTGAAATACCTACTTAAGTTGTTATATGTCGTATATTAAATTTCGTAATTAAATAATTACTGTAAAAAATTTTAAAATGCTTGAATTATAGACTTAATAGTAATAAATTTAAAAAAAATACAATTCTGATTGAAACAACATAAATATAATCCTTCAAAAAAAAACCCGTAGTTAAACGACACACAGAATAACATAAGAAATGCATTCGTCTCATTACATAAATAAGACAATAATTATTAATAAATTAGTAATAACATCGGCAAAGAATCCAATCGATAGTTAACAATAAACAGTAGATTTTTTTGCCGATATTCTTAAAACAGATTCTGATTGTAAATCTACTTAACTTTTGTGTCAGAAAATATCCATTTTATTGTTTAAAGTTATCGAAAATCAAAGACAATGCAAAAGAATAACGAAACCTATAAATGGCTGAAAATCGAAACATCTATTTATTGACAAAACAATATTATTATCACTCCTTTATGACAWTATAACATTATTAACATATTCGTTGTTTATTGTAGGCATTGATCTTTACGTTTTTATGACATTGAATTTAGAACTTCGTCTTAAACGACACCCGTACATTTCTATCCAAGGCTGGATCTACGAAACTACAGTTTAATAACCGGTTGGGTAACATAGCTGTATAAAGTCCTTTATGTTTCTTTGCATACATCATCTAATAGTATATACGAGCATGTGCGTTTCGTGGAGAAAACAGGATTTATTGAAATAATATTTYGATTATTATTAACCAGACTTCCGCAATGTAGCATAGTACAGCCTTATCATAAAAGAATRAAAAATGTTGTTATTATATATTTATTATTAAATAAAAGGTAACTAAATGATAATATATTATACCAAGTACTTCTACGTTGTATTAACTAGATATTTAAAATTTTGAGTTAAATTGAAAACGTCAAATGCTATTTTAATAATTATTACCTCTTTAAAACCCGAGAAAATGTTTCGTACAAAATATATTGTTATCAATTGGCTCTATAATAGAATGAGAAAAAAAATCACTTGTACATTTTAAGGCCTGATAAATTCAGCTGTAAATAATTGTTAAATAAAAATGACTCTTAACTTGTGGCTTTCATCATGAATAATTGAAAATTTAAGAAACGGAACTTCAATTTCAAAAGTCACTGAATTTTTTTTTTTATACGTTTTAATAGAAACGATGARTGTTTAATTTGAAATTGTTTAATATAAAAGTAGTGGCATGTGACTTTTTATTAGATGTCTTAAAAACAGTGGATGGTGACATTAATTRAAAAAATAAAAGTCCACGTAATAATGATTAAATTACCAACATACAATAAGTTCTAAAATATTGCTAATTCCTTGAAACTCATATCTGACATTATTAATTAAGTTAACACAAACTACACATTTGGATTTTAAATATTGCATGGTCCATTTAAGTTATAATGTAACGCATACCTATTATTTTGAAACTATAGTATAATTTTACTAACTATAGTAGATTTTTATAACTACAAGTGATTCACAAATTACAAAATTTAAGTATGATTGAATTTATAACTCATATGTTATATTATAGATAATACATAATATTAAATAAATTTAGTACCTATACATAAAAATAATTGAATAAGTWAGTTGATTTTCGAAAAATCCAAAAGGTTCCTCTCTTTCATTACACCATACCCTCGACGACAAGAACATTGAARCGATCTATAATTTTTTCCATGAGATAAAATCTAAATCAAAAGTTGTAAATTTTTCTAATATGATTTTATATTTTCAAGGACACTATGTATTTTAATGTGTATGTATTATCTTCTAAGTTAACACAAGATGATGACCTATGAAATTGAATGCAAGTTCACCAAATAACATAAAAAAATCGAAAAAAAAAAATGGTCCTTTTAGCTAGTTAATTATTTAATATCAATTAACTCTATAATCCGGTCTAACTCAAATGCATTGAATCGTTGAATCAACCTTCTACAAAACGCTCACGTATCATATTTTCTTCCGCATTATCGATAATCATGGTGTTTATAAAAACTTATTGTTCGAATACATTAACTAATTGAAAATATAGTTTTATAAATTAAACTGAAGGTGGCCCAACCAATAATCTGAAAGTCCACAACTATATTCAGTCTTTTTTCCAAATAATTATAACCAAAACATGGAATTCAACTACGCAGTTTGATTATCAATAAAACAAAATGGACCAATTTCTTTAAACTAATAGTTCATTAACTTTGTGTTGTACGATATAAAGATGAATAAAGAGAATAAATTTACATAATTATTTTAATTCGATAAATTATCAAATTCTCTATCGTAATATTAATAATATTATGGATGACTAATTTAAATGACGAAGTCAATAAAATTACATAAAATTCAAAATAAGAAACATTTAAACAAAGACCCCATAATTACGAATCGTTATTTTGAAGTTTAGTAGTAAGTACATGCTTTATTATCTTCTTTTATCTACACTTTTAACATAATAAGTCTAATAAAACATGACTGTTTTGCATGGTATTTCCTAAATTTTAAATATTACAAATTAGGATGATTATATTTAATTACCTATGGGTGTCAACTGTAAATAGAAAACGAGAGGTGGTAAAATAATATTAAATTATAAACAAAATTCAGTTATTTGATTCGACAAAATGCTTTGTTTAAAATCAATTTACAAAATATATATATCATACTATACTATTAACAAAACGTTTAAACTTTGTGGTATTATCTTGTTACATTTTAAAGTCAAATATTTAAACGCAACTTAATAATAATTATATGTATAAGTGTACTAACCTTTTTAATACAAATTCGAAATAATGTCGAAACACAATGATTATTTTTCAGGTGCAAATTATTTCTCAGCACTACATAGATATGAGCTAACTGAAGTAAATACGAAACGGATACCCAAGAACACAACAAACCAAATTCTACTGGTTTTCCTTGAACACGTCGACGTAAAATAATACACAAACAAGTTTTTCATACTCGCGATTCTTTATTAAACGATGCGAACAGAGTGCATAAATAAATGATAAAAAAAAAAAAAAACAATTATGAATATTAAGTGTTTATCATACTTCTCCRCAATGATATAATTTTATTCTACTGCACAAATATACAAATACAGCTTTATTCGCATTGCAGTTTGAAACTGTCGATTCTACAGATTCGCTGTAGAAGTTCCCAAAATCTGTTTTCGCGTACTACTTCTTGTGTTTATTTCTATTTAATATAATTAAACTAACAACTAAAAATAGAACCATTCAAAGTTCAACGATAAATCTACGTCAAAAATATGATCAAACGGTAAAAATGTACATGAAATATTTAAAAAATAATAATTATTATTATCTACGTCAATGTATGTCGTCGTTTACGTGCGGCTTATTATTTTATTGGTGTCACTATATAATAATATTATAATTCTGGTTGGAAATTAATATTAACGTAAAATAACGTAAATAAAATATAAAACAATATTAAACCCGTCACAAACATAAGAATAATAATTAATAGTTTAATTTATTTTCCGTACCAAAATAAGTGATCTTTGACGTAATACACTTTGGACACCCCTGATCTAGACTCTAGACGCTCGTAATATACGAATACCGACATAATTGTACTTACCTGCACAATAATAACATTACTATACTATAAAATAGGAAAATGTGTTAWACAAAGAACGTTTAATGGGAAAAACAATTATTCAATGGTCAATTTGGAGTTTATGATTTTTAATTATTATTATTCGACAAGAAGCAATCGTTGAATAAATAATAGGGCTGAAACTTGATTTCGGGAAACCTATAATTTTAAACTGAAATATCGTAACTCGTTTTGGCATTGGGAGAGATGAAATGTATTTCTGGTTTTAGTAGGTACACCTTGATAATTGAACAATGATTGCAAGACAAGTGCTTCGATTGAATCGTGAAAATAATTTAAAACATRACATTTTTKCTTCGAAGTTCTATGTACCGACTACCGAGTAAGAAAAACTTTCCTCTTTCCTCTAATCTCCCGCTAGAGATATCAATCATCGGACAATGATCGACTTAAAGAAGCACCAAAAAACTTAATTGTTTACAAGTAAAAATAGTTTTTTAATTTAAGTCACAACAGTTTTTGTAAACATAATTCTAATTCGTTGGAAAAAATGTAATATTTTATGTAACGCTCAAAATGATTTTGAAGATGACACATCAATCGATTATTATTCAAAAATATTTAACCATTTGTACACGATTCGCAGTATGTTTAGAAAAATCAATTGTATGTGCCTATAGATTTATAGTTTTAATCAACGTATGTTGACACCGATTTACTCGCAAAAKAAAAAAAAGAAAAAACTCAAAAAACTATAGGCACACTACGTCGTACTTTATGTCTACGGGGTGATTCTTTTAAGTGGGTACACAAATTATGTCAAAAAGTATTTACTTTTTTCAAAATATTTTTTTACAACGTTTYAAGTTGTTAAAAAACCAACGTTTTTATTAAAAAATTATATTTTTAAATATTTTTTATCCTTATCATTTTTTAAGTTTTTTACTTTTTTGAATGACAACATAGAGTTTTAATTTCATATTCCAAAGCAGAATATTTTTCTAAGTATTTTGATTCATAAAAATCGAATTTAGGACGAGTAGTTTATGAGTTAATATGTATTTAAAGTTTAGACAAGCAGAGTAGTGGACAGACATTTTGCGGGGTAACCCTGTACCACTCCACTCTGCCAATATAAACTTTAAATACTTATAACTCATAAACTACTCGTCCTAAATTCGATTTTTATGAATCAAAATAATACTTAGAAAAATATTCTGCTTTGGAATATGAAATTAAAACTCTATRTTGTCATTCAAAAAAGTAAAAAACTTAAAAAATGATAAGGATAAAAAATATTTAAAAATATAATTTTTTAATAACAACGTTGGGTTTTTAACAACTTGAAACCATGTAAAAAAATATTTTGAAAAAARTAAATACTTTTCGAGATAATTAGTGTACCCACTTAAAAGAATCATCCTGTATATGTGAACAACAATCCAAAATATTTTATTTCTTATAATCAAGAACTATATATTTAAAAAATTCCATTTAAGATGTTTGCTCACAATTGTCGTATTTATTCTACGATTGTAAAATTGTGACTTTATGACTTGGATCRAAAGTCGGTTTTGTTAAATTTAAACTAGTTAATAATATTATTACTTGAGTTCGATTACCTAAAATCAAATATAATTGGTAATTGACTTAAAATATCGGTCGTACACAATAATTTATATAAGTTTCAATAACGTATGACCAAATAATTGTTTCATAGGCACATTTCGATGATACATTTTACACTCTCATACATCGAATAACAGACGTATTTTTTCAAAACAAGAGCCATCAAAAATATTCATAATAAACTTAGCAAAGATTCTCTCAAGTAATTACAGTATTAGTTTGTGGAGAAAACATTGATGACCTGATGAATGGTATACCAAATTAAATAGGAAAATRTACGTACTTGAAAATGATAACCATGCGGAAGCCGTAAGTCTTATGTTTTAAGGTCCAACACTGTATTCAAGCGAACGGTATTAGGCTCATTACATAAATCAATTTTACTCTCCACATTTCCAGATACATTAGACAATAAATGYAATTCTTTAGCCGAAACAGAATTAGAAAATGTATAATTTAATAAATTATTAAAAATATGAATGGCCACCGCGGCAAAGAGATTCTATGTATGGGCTCAGTAAAATATCGTATCAAAGCTCAGCTCATGAACGAAATACACTGCAGGTCCCGGTGAAAAATATATCAAATTAAAAAGGAAAATATACGTAAGTAGGCACTTTGAAATTATAACTGTGTGAAAAACGTGTGTCTTACATTTTATATGGCTCAACTGTTCCCAAACTAATGATAATTTTGTGCGCAAACAAGTTATCTTTTTGATATTTGTACGCAATCCAGGACYGCCCATAACATATTATAGACAGTGCAAATTTGTATCAGTGTAACACTTTCCGGACTGKTCAAAATTTCGTATAGATATTATAACCTAGTTACTTCCCATAGATGGTTAAGATTAATACAAATCCGCAAAATTAACTATGAATTTTCCAACTTATTCGTCAAATTAAAACTAATTTATCACTATAAATTGATATAAACCACACATAAAAAACATATAAAGTTTAYAAGTTATAAACACCAAATAAAGTTTCCCCAAGTTGTATGCCATGGCCAGTAAAATGTTGCATGAATATTAAAATTAAATAAATTCTATTCCGTAGTGAAAATGTATAATTTACATCAATTTGTATTCAATAAAATTCAGTAATACACCTACATTTTAAATATAAAATTGTATAATACAATAATGACCTTACCGATGTACTCGGGGTTGATAAATATTTCAGTTGCTTCGGATAAATCGTTTGGCACTTTGATAAATAAACTCACGCCCGTGACAACACAATTTATTAAAAAAACGAATAATATTTTAAATTAGAATATTTTATAAATTTGCGTCTATTTTATCGATTTATTTGTTTTCTTAGAATACTTAAGAAGCTCGAGTTCGAATGCTACAAGCCAATACGTGTATACTCGTGTGCGTATCGTTTCCAGTATATACGTATACGTGTAACCGGTACCAATTTTCCCCCACTCACGAATACTGCATACACTTATTGCAATAGCTAACTAATATTTGTTTTATGATAAAAAACACACACACACATAGATGTCTTAAGTCCATTTAAAGGTACATGTACATTTTAAACGGTTACAAAATATTGTAATGACATTTAAATATTTTCGTAGATCGTTACTCAATAAATATGAAAAGATAAACGTAGGTAATATTTTATTCAATAAACATGATGGATATATGTTGACCTCGAATTACGAAATATGATAATTATTAATAAACAAATATCAACAGCAAATGACATTTTCTTTGAATATGAACTCAGGTTTGAGTAGAATATTTTTAAATCAACAATTTTTTTTCAACCATTGACTTATATATGTATTACGGACTACATTTCTCTTATACCTCACTATATGATATAATGTGCCAATGTTGTTGTAAAACGGCACATCCTAGTTTATCCCAAGTACTAGAATCTAATCACAGGTGCTATACTATAGTTGAATCTCACTAAAAAAAATTTTAATTGTATACCACATTAATGTTAAGCATTTTTTTTTAACAGTCAACTTTGACCTAAGGCCGGTTTACTGAAATGTATTATATAATATATTATATGGTGTAAAATTTATAAATGATATAAAATATTTAATTATTGTGCTAAATGAGTAGATTTTATAAAACGAAGTTTTGAGATATTTCTAAACGTGAAATATAAAACCATCTGTATAATAAATTTAAATTGTATTAAAGTTTAAAGTTACAAATAAAACACGTTATTTTTTTATTTGCGCGTTATAAATATATACAAGCAACATGAACATAAGTTAACAACTATGCTTAATAATATTATTAAACAGTTTACCTACTTCGTATTTGACAATGTTAAAAAATATTCACTGATATAAATTATATTATATTTTAGACTTTAGTTATTATATTATATAGGAAAAAAAATCCAAAATAAACTTCAAATATCTGTACATTTTGGGTTTATTTTTTTCCCTCTATAACCTTCTTGAGTAGTATCCATCCCAAAATCTTTGCAGCCTCTATATTCTAACTAATTTTTTTTTTTTATTAAAGCATTCTTTTACACAGTAAACACAAGCGTGTTCGTTTTCCAATAATTATAAATTATAAAACGTTTAGTGAAACATCTAAAGTTATAATTATAATTAATATCACATCAGTTGAATAAATTAAATCAATTTCCAGCTTCGTTATAGGGCCACTGGCTGTACAATCGAATACAAAAAAATTAAATTATAACATTACATCAAGTTATTTAGGTAGCTCAATTCGACGATATATGATGAATTTCATCGAAATAAATACGTTATTAAACCTAAAGTGATAATAAAAGTAGCAGACGATATATGACAAACCGAACTGGATGTTTCTTGTCGATTCTCGGAGCTAACTCTAGTAAACCACGGGAGAATTTCAAGGCTGGCTGGATAATCGATCAACCATGTTCTTCCAGATAAGAGTGAACTTTTGGGATGGTTTTCGTCCCTCCACATACCTTTGGGTAGGTAAATATGTCGAGAAGTAGCACCTTCGACGAGAACTGGAGCTACCAATATATTTTCACCCAACAGAAATTCTATAAACAAACACATAAAGATAAACAATTAATTTTTAACGAATAACTATTTTTTAGGAAAATCAAATGTTGGTTGATATTTTTCATTAAAACCAAATATATAGAATTGGGATTAAAAAATACAATTTTCAATTAAACAACAAACAAAACTAGAATAGATACCACGTAAATCACGGGTCATAATGGTGTTTCAATGTGATATGAATTCGAGATCAATAATGGTTATAATTATTGTAATAATCTCCGTCAAAATTATTGAATGATAAAAACGAATAGCGATCGATAAGCAAAGTTTCTTGCAGTCTTTTCAGATGGTAATATTCGATAACTTCCATTTATTTACACGATAATATATCAATTATTACATTAATACATTGATAATAATTTCGAATGTATATCATTAATTATTATAACATAGAATAACCAATATAGTGTTATTAAAAGCATTTTCTTACGGTCGTCGATTGCATGTGCATCTGTGTTAGTGGGATCGATCCACCAGACCGGAGGGTTCACTGGCGTACCGTGTGCAACAGTTTGTTTCATTAAATCCACAATCTTGTCTGTATAGTTGTTGCGGAGTGCCATGAAATATCGGCACAATTCTAATGTCTAGAACATAATACGTATATTATGAAATACCGATTGTAGCTAATTTAAAACGACTTATTGTACTTATTTATTTATCATAAGTGTGTGATGTTCAAGGAAACCAATCAAAACACAGTATACAGTTATTAGGTACCTGTACGTCGAAGTCCCAAGGAGTGTACGAAAATTGTACCACTGGCATGAACACACCGGCTTGGATCCATCTGATGTACATCTCTTTGGAAGGCGGTGAGTTGTTATAACCGTTACCACCGATCATATCCGGTAATACGAACGGATATCCAATCATATTCAAATGTATCAAGGATGTGATTAGTGTTGGTAATCCCAATTCGTAATTCCACCGCGACTCACGGTCGATCATTCTTAACAAGCAACCATATGATTGACTCCTTCTGGACGCCCTGTACTCTATGCTGTCGCCAAAAGCCTTGATTGTATTGAGGTATGCGTTTACAATGTTATCAGGGTAGTATGTCAAATCGTCATCGTAATAAACCGGAAGTGGATGGCTCCTGTGGAAATAGAAAACAAATATTTTTATTTAATTTTTTATTTAAATTAATATCAAAAGAACCTCACTGAGAGAAAATCGTGTGGAGGCCCAGGGAATACTTATTACTACAATATTTCATATGGTAGGTTCAATTATTTGTTGTAGGTAAATTATGTTGTATAAAGATTTAAAATTGAAATTTTACGCTGCTTTGTATAATATACGAGTATACGTCATTTATTTTTATAAAATCGGAGTGATATTAAATACATATTTTGAATAAAACAAGCGTCAAACAGAAACTACTGAATGTTGTATACGAATTACCTACACCCACTCCAGAGTCTCAAGACCTGAGACATCTAGAAAATTAATGAATTTGTTTCAATGAATGATTTTTATTTAACGAAGCTAAATTCGACATCTAACTTGTATAAATTACTTAAGAAAACTATGTTTAGTCATAATATTCTTATACTAATACTTAATACTTAAACTGATAATATATAAATATATATTATTAATTTATTAATGTTAATTAAATTCAATGCATTTTCAAAATAAATTATGCAATTCCAGCTAATAACCACGTGCTACTTGGTTACTTAATATAATGTTTTTTAAATATATATTATTTTTCCCCTGTTGTGAAAATTATATAAATATTTCATCGTGAATTTTATGCAAATTATATAATATATTTCATCCTATGGCAAATCCATGGCTAGTAATAATACTAAAATATTTTTTTATGTATACAGTGTGTTCTCCGATTTAGGGAACACTGAATTTCTAGGCCAGATTTGTTTGGAATAAATCGATTTTTTTTTTACAAACTGGTGGTATATGAATTCACATTTTTCAATACATTTCAAAAATTTTTGGGAATTTGGTCATGCGCAGTAAAAACTTCTTTTTTTTAAATAGAAACGCSTATTTTTAACACCATATTCGGATAGACCTATTTTTTAAAGTAATTTTCATGTATCAACTATGGCTCTTAGTTCAATATTGACTGAATAAGAGCCATGCCAATTTTATTAAATAATACATTTTTAAACATTTATAAAATCATTTATAATTAATTCTTATTGATTACTTTTTGAATATTTGTTCGTATTTTTTTTTTTAGAAATGTTATAAACAAGACTAACATAATATGGATTCAACATTATTTATTAAAAATCGACTAGGTACAACTGGTACAAGTAAACAATAGTTATTTTTTAATTACACAATAAATTAAATACATTGTTCAAGGTTTGCTCTCTATTTTCAGCACAACGGAGCTCTTGCTCATTATGCTCATATTATTAGAGATCATTTAAATTTAAAAAATACGTACAAATATTCAAAAAGTAATCAATACGAATTAATTATGAATGATTTTATAAATGTTTAAAAATGTATTATTTAATAAAATTGGCATGGCTTCTTATTCAGTCAATATTAAACTAAGAGCCATAGTTGATACATGAAAATTACTTTAAAAAATAGGTCTATCYGAATATGGTGTTAAAAATAGGTGTTGCATATTCCACCCAATACTTGAGGTTTATACTGTACACGATTAATACGTACCAACTGGCTTCTCCTGCATCAAACTTAAGTGTATCAATACCAGATGTTGCGAGTAAATTACGTAAACGATTTGACCACCATGCCGCTGCTTCGGGATTTGTGAAGTCTATATAAGAGGCATTTCCATTCCACCAAATAGAATTCACTGTGCCTGATGTACTATTCACAAAATATCCCTTATTTTTGGCTTCATCGTGAATAGGACATTCCAGATTTATGAACGGATGTGTCCACAAAGAAGTCTTGAAACCATATGATTCTATTGTATAACAATAAATTATAAAATTTGATTTTACCAAAAAGTGGTTTAATTAATGTTCATAACGATTATCTTATTTAAGGATAAATTAATCATTTAATGAAACCTGATGCGGGTAATACACAAACTACATTAAAATCTTTTCGTGTCCAGAATAGTCTTACAAACTTTTGATGGTTAAAAGTTTAATTAACAAAATATATAGAACTATTTTTTGTATATATATATTTATTTATAAGCTGGATATTTGTTCAATACTTGATATAACATGCAAACATATTATTTATACATAATATAATATCAATAGTTTTAGAAAAATATCGTGCTTCAAATTGTTTTAAATTGTTTGTTGAATTCGATTATTGAAGATTTACACTAATATTACCGAACCTAGGTCAATAAACTAGTATTAAAGATAAGTTTTACATAACTCTCGAGTATGTAAATTCAAATCAACTATAGCGGCCATAATTATAGTAATAATTTCGTGTAATATACTAATTTATGAGTTTTATAATAACACAAACGATTAATAACAATCTAGATTAGTCATACTTAATAAGTCAAGCACTTTGGTACCGAAAAAAATGTGATTGTATTGTATTTACATGTTTATAAAGTGGCTACTTAATGAAGATCATAGGCGCAAATCACCAAAAAACATTAGGGGGGCTTAAGCACCAACAATTTTGAGGAAACAGGCCAAACTCGTGAGGGGCTTCGCCCCTCACACACCCCAATAGTACTATGCTATATATTATATACATAAAAATATAAAATAAAAATAAAACAAACACAACTAAACATTTTATTATTATTATTTATTTATTAAAAATGTGTACTATGTAACCTATACCCCACCAAATACAAAATGTTAACAGTAAAATAAAAGTTTTGAGCGGATCTATCCCCCTCATTACCTATTCCCTTTTAATTACGTCCCTGATTGAGATGGCCTATGATTTACAATTTTATTAAATTTGACTGTATAAAAAATTCTGAATTGACATAATATTTACTTAATTTTATACCAACAATCATAATATTTTATACTTACTCAATTGATTTACTGTATCTTTAATATTACTGAACCGATTTTCATCGAACGTTGCACTGCCGTAGCAAGTTTCCCACTTGTCGTCTATCTCGAACGTACCTTTGTCAAATCCGTTTGTGACTATTTCTTGGGCGTAACTCAAAACGGAAGATGTGTTAACTTCAATCTTATACCTAGCCCACGTCGACCAAATTGGGTACTTCACTACATAAGGATCGGGTATGGACATGGGTGAACCTAGGAAATCTTCAATGGCGTTTTCGTGAGCTTTTCGKGGATCACTAAACTTGCAAACGCGAAATTGCATGAAATTCCTATCTTTTCTGTAAGGAGCAACAACTTTAGCGGTGAAACACATTTTTCCTGGTCTTGGGCCATTGATATCTACGAATAAGGCAACTGAATCGTTAATGTGTATGTAAAATCCGTCAGAGTTGAAGAAATATGACTCGACCACCTAAAATGCAAAGCACGATTTTATTAATTCAAAACAAATCATAGAGATTCGAAAAAATGAATAAATCATGTGTCCTGAACAATTATTTTTTAAATCAAAGATTCTTCAACACTATAAAACTGTTATTTTTGTGTTATGAATTAATAACATAATATTTCTGAAATTATGTGGACGACATTTACAAAAAATCAACGACTACGTTAATATAATGATGCTAAAAACTAAAAAATTTACTTCCTGTAAAAATTTTCAAGTTTTTATTTATTTCTGTTGAAGAAATTATTCTAAATATTAGGTATAGTCAGAAATAAATTTATCAAAATTCAAATGACATGAATTGAATGATATTTTTGATTTTGTAGTTTATTACGATTATTATAATAAAAATAATCTATACTCACTGCTTGGCTGTTCGATTCTTTTGTCACATATTCTCTATCTGTCCAGTTAAGTTTATTCAGAGGCCATTCTTGTAAACCTACTTCGGCGCCACCAAACCAAGAACTGTTATCGAATTCGACACAAAATTGCAAGACATCATTCATCGACTGACTGATTTGTTCAAAATGCTTACATTCCTGTTTTTCTGATTCTGAAAAATAACTTAAGTATCTTGCATTGCTTCCTGATTTTGGGGTGCAAACACTTGGATCTTTATTGATGCAATCTTCATAGAAGCTTAGCTTCAGATTCTTCAATGATGTATTTTCTAAAATGTATTCAAATTTGACGATAAAATATAAATTTATGTATATTTTAAAAAATTTTAAATTTTAGAACTTAAAAGCATAAAAATATAGTAAACGAAATTACTTCCATATTCCACTTCTAATTGTTTATCGTCTTCAGAATATAAAACAATAAAGTCTGATGCCAAAGACGCCGATACTAACGTCAATGCGATGACACAAAATGCTAGAAAAAAAACACTCATGTTTATTAAATATGACTAATGACAATAATGACATATTATTGTTTTAATATATTTTATGTAATGATGTCGGTGCCGGTATTTCCGATTTTTCGCATTTAAACATAATTATATATCATATTTTAGTTACTAGGTATACCTTAATAATTATAATACGTTTTTATTAACCTACTGCTCAACCCGATATCTATTCAGAGAAGGCTGATATGGTGATCATATCAACAAAAAGGATTTCACAGAAAAATGTTCAAACTTCATAGATACGTCAAATTTTGATACTTTTTTTTCACCTGAAAAATTATAACTTTTTCAGGTCAAATCAAAGTCCAAAAGTTGAAAAATAACAAAAACTGTGCAATATTCAAATACATATTGTAACATTTATAATTATAATTTTGAAAGTTAGTTTTTCATTCAGCCTATAAAATTTTCTCTTTTTTGAAGTAAATATATACCTATATACCAAAATCTGGCTATTCTATTCTAGAGAGCATGATAATTTTCCTGTAAGATATATTACTGTTCAAAAATTGCACCGGCTCCGACGCGCTTAACATAATTCAAATAATATAATATGACAATAATATTTTTAAATGTTATTATTTTTTATTTTTTATTATTACTTTTATAATAACACAACACAGTTAAGTTGGACTAAGTTCTAATAGAATATAATACTTACGATTATTTTTAAATTTAACTAGAAAATAGTTATGTAAAAAAATACTTATCGTGAACAAAATACTATGTGAGTGAGATTTTATGCATATTAAATTTTATTCTTGGGACTTATGTACCTATAGTTTATACGTGTTATTATAAACTGTATTTTACTTTACACTTTTACTATAAAACACGAGTTTTATATTAAATTATTAAAGTATGATTTACATAATATATAATATATATTGAAGATGAAAAAAAAATAACACTTAAAAGTTCTGTCTCTTACACATAGTTTCGATAGCTACGAGAAAATAACTAAAAACGTTACTTTGAAAAATATTCAATAGTTCATAATTATATATTTTGATTGTTAGCAGTTAGTAAAAAATAATAATAATGAACAATAAGTTATTATTATACTACGTATATTATACGTAACTATTGTAAGTTCGAAATTATTTATTTCGTAGAAGACGTTCATGATTACCTATTATGTTAGCCATTTTTATTTTTCTGTTAAAATTATGACGATGCATGCGTGATGAAAGTCAGCACATCACTGCTTATTATTTTTCGGATATCATCGTTGTAATATAATATATTAATATGACTCGAATTCGATAAGACCTACGTATGAGTTATGAACTTATACGTATATCTTACATCGTAATGATAAAGACTCCGACTAAAACAAATTAAAATGAAGTGTTCTGTTTACGCAGACTAATCTTTATTTGGACAGTACAAAACTCAATGTGTGTGATGTTTAAATAAAAACAATATTTTTTTAATACCTAATCGATTCCGAACGAAATCGGTTTTCTGCGGATTTTTGCAAGAGAACATAACTGGTAAGGATGTTGGATTAATTTTTATATCAAGTATGTTTMTTTTTTGTATATTTTATACATTTTTTTTTATGTTTGACGTAAAATTAATAGCCAGTTATCAGCTATTTTTGCTTATATTCAATGATACCTACTTCTTACCAGCTGAATGATGATCAAACTTTTGATACCTACGTTCTAATATAAAGCATATCCCAATTTCATTTGTCTACAATCTATTTGTTATGCGATTATATGTTTTAATGACGACTTTCGACGGTTTCATAATAGCCATAAAATGTTCTATTTATTTTATTTATCAGATTATCTTCATTCAGATGGATTACTGACTTTTATTGCTTCATTTCAATCAACATTGTTCCCGTGAATAATTCCCTTGTTGTCACGTTTACTAGCTTATATCTAGTAACCAGGTATTCTAATATTTACCAACGAAAAAATGAAAAAACAAATGCTTATCAATTGTCATAGTTTTATGAATATATATTTAATTTTAGTTCATCATCAATTGTAGTTTTGAAATCCTTATTCTTTACTGTGTAATTTTTTGTTACTTAGACCATGCAAAATAAAAATTGTTTTTCCATATACTGATCGAAAATTACAAAACTAGAAATAATACAGGAATGAAATAAAAACTCTTATCAAATTTATAATGAAAAATATATATATATGGGGCATATAAAAATCCTGAAAAAAGTTTTTTGGGGATCGCGCAATTACAAATTTTAAAAACCACGTCTGGACACACACTAGTAGTCAACATTATATTATAACCACATGTCCACATCTATAATATACTTGTCTCCAGATAATATTTAAGACTGGCAACAAGTAGCCATAGGTATACCTTAGTTTTGCGGGGACTGTACCAGTTTTGAACAATATTATATTATCATAGCGTCCCGTTGACTCAATTAAATGTTTCTGGACGGCCAATTGTTTCAGAATAAAAAAAAATCGATAATCATCTTTTACAAATCATATTATATGATATTAAAAAATATATATTTTATTTTCGTAGTTGATATAATAAACAAGTTGATTACTTGGTTGAATGAAAAACTCTATTTTACAATTACCTTAACTGCTTGGTAATAAACTAATAACAATATAATTGCTTATTTCTTATGTTAATTATATTAAGTTGGTATTACTAGAGTTAAAAAATAGTTAAGCGGAACTCCAGAAATATTTTTTATGAGCATCTGATGTTAAATTTGACTAAATTCTAAATCCATGCATTAATCAACGTTTTATCATCAATTAATGATCTTCTTATTTAGTTTTTATAAATTGAAAAATGAATATCCATAAATACTTTAAATATTCACCAAGTTTTTATGATACCATTTTTAATATATAGTATAATATTTCACATATTTTTAACTATCTATAGACATTTGAAATTTTTCAATTTTTTAGGAGTATATTTCTCTATAAATATCGATAAAAAATGAACATCAACTGGAGAATACAGAAGTTTACTCAAAGTAATTAATCAGGAGTATACATAACGTATATCGATAATTCTCTCATTAACCACGAGAAAGAGAGCGAGAGCTCTAATAGTGACTTACCAGTCAATTATGATTTAAAAATTGCAAATCTATAATATTTGTTATATTATGTATGATAATAATATCATAAGTATGCTTCAAATAGTTATATGATTATACGATTATGTAATTTATTTTATCGATCAAAACATCAATTGCTTGTACTAAATAATAATTTTAATATTTTGCTTACCTAACTTACTATTGAACCATGTTTACTTTATAAATAATATTGTTATGTTGTGTAATTATATTTATATTATATTAATATTTACAAACGCAAACTACTAAACTAGATAACTTTGGATTAAGACAAGTATAACTGTGTTACTGTGTTAGTCTTACTTCTCTTTCGATAAGCAACTTCTTTTTTGTAAATAATTTTTCAAGTTATAGTAATTCAATTAATAGTGTATGTATTTTATTATGTACATTATATTATATCAGTGTTCGGGAACCTGCGGCTCTATAATATGTAATCGGTGACTTTTTGAAAAATGCATCAATATATCGAGACCCGTAAAATATAAATGTTACTAAAAAAATGCAAAATACTACAATTATGACTACAAAAAGAAAGGTTATTTGATACCTGTACCGAACAACCTATGCGGCTCTTTTGACATCATGGTTTAATAACTTTTTTTTTTTAAATGGCTTTTTTCTACGAAAAGATTCCTGACCCCTGCTGTTATACATGATATATGTATACATATATATATATATACTTACTGCAAACTTCAATATAAATATATAACAATAAATATTAATCATAACTAACAATAAATTGACGTTAGAAAATAACTTTTGAAAATGAGCGAGTTTGAAGGTAATTTTACTAATTGGTGTAAATTTAAGTGACTGTAAAATTAATTTCTGTAAACCATATGACGAATTGTACATGTTCTCGTGGCAAATATTGTACACAGTAAACACTTCAAGTGCATAGATGTAAGTGCCGGATACAACTTAACATGATCGATTTTATTATGAGTGCTATATTACTAAACCACCTGTCACTCATTCAGCCCTATACATAAAACTTAAGTACTAACGAGAGAATTATCGCACGATAAGAACTACAATAAATCTACGTATTAATAGCATAACTGCCTTGATCGTATTGTTTTGTAATTTATTTCCATTTTTTATGAACTTTGTGTCCACAAAGTTGTCTTGAAACCTATAAATATAATATATAATTGATTCTATAATTAATTTATAACCTAACACAGTTGAAATATATTCATCAGGTAAGTAAAAAGTATAATATGGATATTGGATATATTTTCAACAATCAAATATTATATTTTACAAAGTTTAAAAATTCCACAATTGAAAACATCATAGATAAATCAATGGACTGGTTATGTGAGAGGGCCATATCGACATCAAAAAATGATACGTCAGCAGGAGACATAAACAAACTATTATTGGACTCTTTCAAAGCAAAAAATATGGAATACAGATCAGTGAAGTCAGTGCTGAAAGTAGATGATTCAGTTAATTATCCAGTTGAATTTCTCTGCAATTCACTCAACCCTCCTGGATTCACTACATTTATTAATATTAAAAATTGGTAAAAATAGATAATGCTTCACAGAAATCTTAGTCCACCAAAGTTACGGATTATTGGTCTACAAAATAATTTGATTGAAGCTGTTATTATGACTGTATCTGCAAAAGGTGAATCAGTTCTTATTCCTAACATCCAAGGATACCATCAGATTATTCTTTCCAATTCAAAAGAATGTAGTTCCCTGTAAAAGTATGTTTTGCCATGACAATAAACAAGTCACAAAGGCAAACCTTGAAATTTGCAGGGATCGATATAAAAGAAGGCATGTTGTAGGCCAATTGTATGTGGCATGCTCCTGAGTCAGTACGGCCTCGAGCTTAGTTATTTTGGTACCAACAGGAGTTACAGCTAATATAGTTTATAGAGAAATATATTAACGATAAAAATCAGCTAAATATAAACAATTAATATAATATGAGATATTTTTTTAAACAATCTTATTTGAATTTAATTTAACTAGACAATATTTAATCGTACCAGATAACAACAATATTAATAAACCCGGCAACGACGTGTAATTCAGCTAGTTATTTTAATAATAATTTAAATATTTTCAATGTCTGTTAATTTGAGATATTATAGATGTATACAGTATAATAATTAGCGTGATAAGTGTGGCTCTTACAGAAGTAGACTTTCAACGGTTTCACTGTTTCACGATCGTAATAAAATTTTCGATTTATTTTATTTATCATAATATTATTATCTTTATAAAAGTTGGATTCTCGAATAACTGACTTTTATTGCTTCATTTCAATTAACATCATTCCTGTGAGTTAATTTCTCGTCATCACGTCTACTAGCTAACCCAGCTATTGTATGGACTCTAATATTTACCAAAAAAAAAATTAAAAATATATAATAATTATAATAAAATGCTTATCAATTATCATAGTTTTACGAATACATATTTTAATTTTAGTTCTCTATCAATTATAATTTTGAAATCTTTATTATTTACGTCGTACAAAATAAAAATTGTTTTTTCATACTGATAGAAAATTATGAAACTGGAAATAATGCACAAATGTAATAAAAATTACTATCAAATTTTTAGCAAAAAAATAATATATCTGGAGCATATAAAAATCCTGAAAAATCTTTCGAGGCATAGCGCTGTGATACAAATTTTGAAATCCGGTACGTCTGGACATACACTAGAAGTCAATATTATAATATAACCACGCCTATTACCTATAATTAGGGCTCGGAAGTTGATGACCTTAAAAACAGTAAAAAATAACCTAAAAAATGTAAATATGACATAAAAATGGCAAAAAATGTCCTTAAAAATGACCTAAAAAAATTACAAATATTAGTTTTAAATTAATAAAAATACATTTTTTTTTTAATTTTACTCTATTTTACCATAAAAATCTATATGATAAATAAAATGTAGGTATAATATTATTCACTTTTCTACAACAACGCGACGACTGTAATCGGCGAGATAAAATCGGATACTAATCGAATATTATGAAAAAATAATAAAATGTAGGTATAATAATATTCACTACAATACAACAACGACAAATGTAACAGTCGAGATAAAATCGAATAGGTACCTATTAATCTTAGTCTGTGGTAA